GCACTGGTCTTGCCATTAGGAGTCCTGGATTCAAATCCTGTTGGCTCAGAGTAAAGCCTCATCAAGTCACTTAACTACGCTAGCCTCATTTTCTCTTTTGAACATTGGGTGACGGGTCGTTAGAAGAGGACACACCTTGGGCTTCATAGGATTGTCAAAAAGGTTAAATAAGATAATGTGAACATAAGTGTTTTGTATGCAGTGGGTACTGGGTACATAGCTCAGCAGTAGCTCAAATAAAGGCTAAGACATACTAAAAAGCGGTGCTGACATTAAAATGCAGAAGATGCTAACAGAAACAAAACATTTTCCATCATGGAGAGACTGTCTTGACCCCCACTGCTGAAGTGCCCTTGGCTTTTTACTCAAGCTCTCAACACGGCTTTAAAAACTCTTATTAGGAATCGCCATGGGAAGCTTTCAAATCCTGTGTTCTGGGCTGCATTTCTGTAAGGAACAGCACACCTGTTTTAACAAGTTTGGGGTGTTATTTAAGGATGAGGAACTTGAGCCAGTGAGGTCAGTGGCTGAAACTGGCCAAAGGTCCCACATTGCTCAGGGGCCACCCCCGGCACCTCGGAGGGGATGTGAACCACCATCACCAGAGAACCTCTCACAGACCGAGAGGGGGTAGCCTCACCCTGAATCTCTAGTACAGAGATTTAAGAAGCTGTGGAGAAACGTCTCCTTCTGACACTTCACACTCTCCTCAGCCTCGTCCCCATCCTTCCGGGTCAAGTCCAAGCTCCAGAACCAGACCCTAAAACCTTCCATCATCTGGCCCTACCTAGTTGTTCTCAGACCTCATCTCCTGCCTTCCTTCTTAAAATGTCTGTCTCGGCAACACTAACTCTGCCGGGGAATTTGTGTGTGCGTGCGTGTGCACACACACTGCTCCCTCGGCCTCCAGTGTCCTCCTCCCTGTCCCGCCTCACGCTAACATCTAGACCCTGGCTACTAAAGAGTGTGGCCCTGCAGCTCCAGCATTGCAGGGGCTTGTGACAAATAGTCTCAAGTGTGTCCCAGCCCAACTGAATCAGAATCTGCACTTGAATAAGATCCCTGGTGATGGCACTATTACTACATTTTTATAAGGGAACTGAAAGCTGGAGAAGCCCCTCACCAAGACCCCACTTCTTCCGGAAGCCCTCCTGGACAAAGAATAGCCCCTGCCTCCCACCACGCCAGGGCAGCTACCTGTCTCCAGGGCTCGTCTCGCAAACCACAGAGTCTCTTGCGTGTACTTGTTTCTGTGCCTGTCCTCAGCTGTGGCCCAGGGGCTCCCCGCCACGGGCTGCAGACCATGCCATCCTTGGGTTCCCCATGCTGTGGCATTCTGCCTATGTTCGGAGCTTAGACAATGTTATTTGTCACAGCTCATAATCTCTAAAGTCCTTGTGATTTTAAACTTGAATAACTAACTTTAACAATAACTATCTTTAATAGTTAGCTTTAACTTTAATAATAGCTAACTTAAATAACAGCTTTAATAACTTGAAACACCTAACAGTTTTATTAACTTCAATAACAAAAACTGGAATCACTAATTTTAATGACTAAAACTCAGAAACCTGTGAGCTACATGTAAAAGCATGACAATTTAGGTTACTCTTGTTACACATTTGAATCCAGACACTTTGAATGTTGTATGTATGCATTTAATTTTTGTCATATTTAAAATATTATAAAATTTATATTTTGCAATGGAAACTTTCAAATATACACAAAAGTAGGAAATAATAAGGAGTCCATCACCCCGCATTAACAAATGTTGACTTTTTTAAAAAAAATTCTCATGTCATCGATTTCCCTCACCCCCATCCATTGACTCACTTTTTGGAAGACTGGGCCATTTTAAAACAAATCCCAGATATATTATTATTTCAGCCACAAATATTTCAGTATGCATCTATAATCTAAGAGAATTTTATTGTACCTAATAGAATTAATAGTGATTCCTTCATGCAATCTCATAGTCTGTATTCAAACTTTGCTAATTATTTCAAAGATGAATTTTTACAGTTGAGTTTGTAGAAATCAAGTGAATGTTTTATAGCAAACAAAAAAGAGCTCCCAGGAACGAGAAGGTGAGTTTCTCAGGCCTGTGGCCCAAATTAGCTATATGTGAAAAAAATTATGTTAGCTTTCAATGCCATTTGCGGTTCCTCTCCCCACTCACAACTAGATTATTCACTTAAAAAAAAAACACACCTGTTATGAAGAATCCACAGGTAAAATATAGCAAAGCAAAAGCAATACTGAAGTCCATACAAGCATGTCCCTCAAAAGCAGTGAAACAAATAGGAATTGTAATGGTGAGGATGGTTTTTTATAAGAGAGAGATATAAAAAAAATAGATTTTAAGCCAAATGACTCCCCCCTCAATAGGCAAATAGCCAGCAGGCCTTACAGACTTAGAGAGTGGACTCTGGAGGGATGATCAATTTGCTGGTGCTATTTGCTATTAAAATCTGTATTGATTTTGCCTGCACTAAACACTTGGGGTTCCTGAGAAACACGTCGGCAGAAGTGGCTGGGAGCACATCCAATGACCTCGGAGCTGTTCTCCTTGTGCGAGTCCTGCTCCGTGCTCCACAGGTCGGGAGCACCGTTCTGACTCCTCTCGGCCCCCGTTCGTTCCGAGTCACGCTTCATCTAGGCCCCCCTGCTTGTTTAGCTCTCTACATAACACGCCGCGGGGCAGAGATTCCGGCCTCCACACAATGGCCCACCATTCAACCACACTCTGCTTTGTCCCTAAACATTCACTCCCCTGGCTCCCGCTGGGTCTGTTATATTCAGATATAAGCTGTCCAAGAATCTGATCATGTCACAGGCCTTTTCCTGTATGACAAGTTCAATGTTAATCATGAATAGCGGGCTTCACACAGAGGGTTAGCATTATTCATGAAAATTATGACTCCACGTCCAAAAATAGGGCAAAACGAAAACAGGCAGGCTGTATCTCAGCTGAGCCCACGAGTCAATAACCAAGGTCTTTTGCTGCAAGCATTGCAAGAGTTTTCTCAACTATACTGATCAGCCATACTAGACACACAGTGTTCTGCCGGACTCAAGGTTTGAGGCTCGGCTTCCTGGGGCACCCTGGCGCCCACAGGGTGAGCGTGAGGCTTTTTCAGAGAACCAAAGCCAGTCACTTCCTACCCCCTCAAACTAGGTGCTCCCCAGTTCTTACTCCCAATTTCTTTAAGTCTCCCTACCCAGACCGTTTCAAGGCCAGCATTAGAAGCTTTGAGAGGGTTACCAAAGGGCCATAAAAAAAGAAAATAATGTTAAATTTTCCTTTTTTGGAACAGCAAGGCACACCCAACAAATATTATGAATTAGAGGGGTACTGGGTAGCTTACATCAGTTTTGCTCTAATTCCGTCTTCTGAAACTTAGTTTTCAGTGACCACGTGAGTCAGCTCCCATTGGCCCAAATTCTATTTTATAAATGCAAGTTGAGGATTATCTTTCCAAATAAAAGCGGCCAGATTGAAATCCCTTCTTTGCCATTCCTGAGAGAATGACACAGGCTGGTACTAAAAGACTATCTTTGTGTGGAACAAATGGACCGAGGAAAATCTGCTTTCCTTTCCCCCTGCCCCTCTCTTCTTTACAGAACTAGAGCCAAATGAGATGTTTTTCATTTTAAAAATCTGATTAAGCAGACTGGGCAGAAGCCCTTTCTTCTGGTCTTTACTGTTCTCTCAGTTCTGGGACTGAATCAAGACATACTCAGGTTGGAAGGACAGGGAAGCTAGGGCCTAACGGCCAGGCAGTGGTGACACCTGGACAGATAACTTCTGACAGGTGAGGATGGGGCCTGCAGCACCGGGTTAGAAGGGTCCTTTCCCCTTGGGGCATAAGAATCTGGACTGTTGGAGGGGGCACGAGTGAGGGGGCCCCAGGTTCCAGGCCAACCACTCTACATATGCTGTGGATACAGGCTCCTGATCTGCGGATGAGAAACACGGCAGGGCAAGGAGTAGGTTTAAGTAATAATGAAAAACAGCCCAGGTAGAATTATTATGAATGAACGTCCTGCCCTTCAACTCTAGGACCCGAGAAACCCTGCTCCTTTGGCATATTTAAAAAGGTACTTCAAACACTACATAAGTAAGCTCCTTAGTACTATATTTAGTTTTGGCTTCTGTGCTTTAAATCTTTGTACGGTATCGTTTTAAAGTACCTTTCTAAGATTCCCTGTCACACCGTACGTTTCCTGGGGGTCAGGGTCTCTTCCTACCCTTGTATCTTGTGTCCCCTGAACACTGAATACAGGCACAGACGAGGGAACGGTTGGAAAACAGGCCCCATAGCAAAAGACTGAGGACGTTTGTCTTTGGTAGTTGAAAAGGACAAGTTATAAGCTTTCATAAAAAACAACAGAACCTCTTCACGCTAATATGAGGGAAAGAACTATGACATTAGCTTTGGAGGGTATTTAATTAGATATTTACTGAAAATCATTTTCCAGGGGACACAACACATTAAATCCAAATAATAAGTAATGTTATAGCTTAGTTTCACTATCTTCGTTCATTCTAAAAAAAAAATATATATATATATATATATATATATCATTCACAAAAGTACAAGGCGTTTTTCCTGGCTGCTACCGAACTACTGTTGCCATCTCTGTCTATGAAGGAAGAAGCATGAGGAAACTGAGTAGAAGCAGAAATTCTGGTTGAGCTTATCCGCCAAGGAAATGGGATGCTGAGGGAGCCAGGCATTCCCATTTCTGAAAAGCTTCAACAAGAAAAGTGAAAATCCTCCGGCCAGGATGGCTTCTCCTTTCACCTGCTTCATGAAATCCGCCTGCCTGAACTACCTCCGGCCCCTCCGGCCCCTCCGGCCCCTCCGGCCCCTCCGGCCCCTCCGGCCCCTCCGGCCCCTCCGGCCCCTCCGGCCCCTCCGGCCCCTCCGGCCGTGGCCTTCCCACCCTGCACGCCCAGTGTCCTGCGGCCTGCAGGTGGCGCACTGGAGTCTTACTCTGGCAGGCGGGGATCTCGCAGTACTTCCAGTAGACGCCGTCCTCATGCTCCGCCACGTAGCACCAGGGGCTCACATCTCCGTCTGGGTTTCTGTTGGGGAAAAGGACACGCCGGTAACGTTTCCATCATTTTACGTCGGCTGTCTCATTGCTTTTCAGTTTTACCAAAAAGGAACGCTCCGGCTTCTGTGATTTTTCATGACTGGTATATACCTCTTATGAAGGAAAAATTCATTGCACCTTTCTCCTCCAACATGTACTTCAGAGTCTGGGGGCAGGAAAGGGTAGATGGGGAGTAAGCAAAGGTGATACACGTTTATACAGATTCCCTACAGTGTAACCGGGACAACGGACCACTGAACAAATCGTGACAAACAGCACTGGCACCTTAAGTGGGAATGTGGCAATTTCCGGCTGAGAGAGCACAGGTGCCTTCTCTGCTGAGGGTAAGAACGTGAAAGATGCAAATGGGCAGGATGGCAATTTGGTAATTGGCGTGGAAGCCCCTTTACTTGGTAATTTCTCCTTTCACACTTTACTCACAAAGGTGTTCATCACAGCATTTTTATAATATAAAAAAGTTACAACAATTTTATAATATAAAAAAGAAACAACAATTAAGGATTGGTTAAATAAATATGTTACAGCCAAATAAAGGAATGCTGGGCAGCTAGCCAAAATGTGGTGTAGAGACACATTTTGTTAATATGGAAGATTTACATAATATAGTCTCCATTGACAAGCTTTCACCAGGATCAGGCTGGTCAACTTGTTTCATAGAATGGGTCTTATTTCTACATCAAAACCCTAACTTCTCAGAATTTGGAAGAAAACCAGGCCAAAGAGCTTCAGTCAGGACCTGTGGTCCTGTAATCCTGGTACCAACTTCTGATACAGCAATAATACTTTTAAAATATTAATTTCAGCCCTGGCTGCTGTGGCTCAGTGGATTGAGTGCCAGCCTGTGAACCAATGGGTCGCTGGTTCGATTCCCAGTCAGGGCACATGCCTGGGTTGCAGGCCAGGTTCCCTGGTGTGGGGCACGCAAGAGGCAACCCCACATTGATGTTTCTTTCCCATTCTTCCTTCCTCCATTCCCTTCTGTCTAAAAATAAAGAAAATTTTTTTTAAAAAAGAGATTAATTTCACATTTCTAAAGGAGTAGCTTAGCATACATGCCCTTTAAGGTCTCTGCAACTCGGCGATGCCATGACAATAGCGGGCAACACTGAAGAAAGGAACAAAAAAGTGGCAGGGGTTACTGGACACACAGAGAAGCCTCGCCTCTCTCCACTGCTTCCCAAGCTCCCTTTATTTAGACTCAGAACACTGGAAACCTGACACTCCAGTTAGGCCGGAAATGGGCATAAAGACCCAGCAGCCGGAGCTTTGGAGCAACCCCTATCAGGCCCGAGAGGGGTAAGCCTATTGTGTGGCCCGGAAGATAAGGCACCCCAAAGCACAAAGGGTCCTTTTATTTGTTGTGCCCAAAGACAGGTGCCAGCGCCAATTCTGCTCCTCCTGTCCCCCTGTCTTCCCCTCTGATCCAGATATGTCGGGCCCAGAAAAGTGCATTCCCATCACTCGCCATCTCGCAGACATCTCAGCTGTGGCGGATCTGGAAACATCTCACAAGACAAACACAGTGTCGGATGTCAGCTGAGAAATCAAAGTAGGCGAACTTGTACAAAGCCCTTCTTTAAACAGTATTTCACTGTCATTTTCCTCCCTCTATTCAGTGTTCAGCTTTGATGTAGCATTTGGTAAAGACCTTAGAAAACAACTGTTTGTTATCAATGTCAAAACGGCTCTGAAAAGCATCAGGATAGCTTAATAAAGACCAATCAAATTCATCTTTGACTTCACTGCCGTGCTAAAAACAAAAGGCCCAGACTCTCTGATGTGATAACAATCAACAATTTCAGCTTCTCTTTTCGCAGGATAAGCTGGTAGTTCAGGTCTGGAACATTCCATCAAATCAACGCAGGGGAGGGCTGCAGCCGGCCAGGGCTAGGGAGGAAGGTAGTCACGCCAGGCTCTCACTGTGCATTTAATTTACTAGTGCATTTCTAGGAGTCTGTGGAGAGACCAGGGTAATGACCTATGAGAAAAAAAATTTTTTCTCATATAAATGAAACCTCATTGGAAATTTCCAATTTACCTTAAAGTCAGACTTATAAACAGGAACTCTTCTGAGAAGACTTGTTTGGTAGAAAGCAAGAGACACTTTAGAACAAGAATGTAAATAACTGTAAAAATGAAAAAACAAACGCTGGTTTTTTTTCCTAAATACTCTTCCCAACCTAACTGTTTCTATGAATGGAAAAGCTAGGGGAAGGAAACAGACGAGAAAGGAAGTGGGGTTAAATTTTTAATTATGCAAAATTTTAATGAACATGCATAGTTTTGAAAATAAATTGTAAAAGAATTACTTAATGAGCGTGTGTAACTTGAACAATAAAATAAAGAAAACAGCAAAATGTGAAGTAGCATATATACAAATTGTTACCTCTGGGAAGTGGGGCTTGGTGGGGGGGATTTGCAGGGAAAGAGGTAAAATGTGGGACTTTAAACAATATATATCTGTAGTTTTTGAGAATTTTTTTGGAAAAGCTTTTAATACATTTAGAGTAACAAACTAAAGAATAATGCCACAGGAGGAGAAAAGCAGAGGAAAGAGCTGAATGCACAGGGGCCACACACACGGACTGCAGGCCTGGCGACGTCGAGGTGACCACGGGGCCCTCGAGTGCTAACGCAAGTACCAGAGGGGCACAGGGTAAACAGCGTAGCCTATGCAGTGCAGGTATCAATATGCTGGCTCAGCTGGGTCAACATGCCATGGCTGAATTTCCAGCATACTGGTAGAACCGGGGATACCACGTGTGGCTCAAAGCATAGCTTAGGAATCGTTCTTCTCCGGCCCCGTGGCTCCAGAGCCTGTCCTTGCACCTGTCTTAATAATAGTTAAATTCAACGCATTGCTGAACCATGAGTCACACTACCAGGACCTTGGGTATAAATAGCTAAAACAAAGCTGTAACCAAAAGTGCTTAGAATTTTTGCTCTGATCCCTACAGACCAGTACTTTTTTTAAACTTGTTTTGGATCACTAATAACTGAGAATCTGATCAAGGTCATGGCTAATCTCCCCAGAAAATTGCAAGTACTCATCGAAGCACCATAGATCTCAGGTCTCAGGTTAAGAGCCCCTGCTGGAATCAGACAGGTGAAGAGCAGAGCAACACCTCAGTCTATAGAAAGGAGGGGAAAGCACAAATTTGATGGCTGCCACTGCCACTGGAGAGAGGGTATCCCGGGCTGGCAGAACGTGGGTTAACGCGGGGCGGCTTTTTTTGCTCACAAGCAGAGGGACGTTTGGGCCACAGATGGTGCTTTTGCTTGACCGCTATGTTCGCAGCAGCTTAAGAAGCTTTGCTGTCTGTGATTGTCCCCCGGTGGCAGGGCCAACTGAGAAAACCCCCTCAAAGAGACATGTAAGTGATCAGACAGGAAAGCGGAGATCTGAACGCCAGTGTGAAAGCAGCCCAAGTGGAAGAGTGGCAGACTGCACGTGTTGCTGGGCACACAAGGTGTGTGAGACAGATTTTAAAAGACAGTAACAAGAAAGGCCTTCTGAGTGGGCCAAAAGGAGACAAAAATGCTCTCCCTAGTTGTGAGCAAGGTTGGAAAAGACCGACAAAGGAGACCAGAGATTTATTTTTTTAAAGTGCTGTGCGGCCCCGTCTTACCTGCAATAGTTATGCTCGCCCAGGCCCCCCTCCCCGTTGGGGTATTTCAGAGTGTTGTACGGATGCTGAAAAGTCTCGTTCCAGAACAGACATGGCTTCCCGCCTTGCAGCGCCGTCCAGCTCTGCGTTCCCCTATAATCTGCACCATTGGCTGTGAAACATTCTAGGAGAAAGAAAAGACAGTGCAAACTCATTTTCTGGCAACATCTGTGGCCTCCTCCCTCTCTGGTTGATATCTGTTTTGTTTGGACCAGGCTGGAAATGGAGAGTGTCTTGCTAGGTCCCAGACACAGGGAAATTAACACTGCTGGGGCTGCGCAAATCTGAATCGAGACACCCTCCACATGCTGGGCTGATCTTGGCACTAGTTTGTCTATGTACACTAGAACATTTGCCCTTAAAGTATACAGATCCCAACGAAGACATAAACAGAGTGCTGAAATGTATTGAAGCCCACGAAGTGCACCCCCAAATCTGGGAACAGTTGGTAACAGCCATCCGTGAGGAGTTCTGGGTGCTCGGAGGGGGTCACTGCTCTCGCCAGTGTCTCTGTGTGGTAACTGGAACCAGGGCACCAGCTGTAACTGAGCTCTCTCCCCTACAGTCTGAAAGGCTGCAGTGACACTTGGATTTAATAAGACCATCGGATACAGCAACGCTTTGGAATCCCAATCACACAAGCCTGGGAGTGACTCACATTCCCTGGTAATGAAGAACAGTTCTCCCCATGCTGCTGGAGATGGAGGGGCGACAACACAGCCAACAGCGGGGAGGGAAGGCTGAGCCGGCGTTCTCTCTCACCTGTTTCTGAAATCCCTCCCTACAAGACACACTGAATGTGGCCTCAGATGCCTTTTGTAAAAATGAACTAATACTCATAGGTGCGACGATGTGCTTCTAAAATCTTCTTCTCGGACTTTGGGGGGATGGGCACTGAGGCTGATAGGACTTCCCCCCACATATTGCACGCATTAAATTCACAGAGGTTCATGAGAGAGGCACAGTACAAAGAGCGATTTTAAAAAATTAGCTTAGTTGGAACTGACAGATAGAAGCACTTCAAACACTTCTTTAAGATGTATCACTAGGAACCTGACAATCTGGGGGAGTTACACTAACATTTAGAGCTTCACGTACTCCCTTCCCCGGATGTGCACTGACCTACAGCTTCCGGCTCGGAGGGCCCCGTGGCGGCACACGTGCCTGCTCCAGCCCCAGCACGAGCACGCTGCGCACACATCTATATTCTTCTGCAAGATGCTTCTTTTAATATTTAGAAATCTATCCACAGGCCATCTCCCTTCCTGTACCCCCTTTCTCCTGCTAGCTGGACCCTGCATTTTGACTGGAATAGCATGGTTTTATGGACAGCCAAAATAGTCTGGAATTCCAGGCTGCGCAGAACACTCTAGTATTTGGTGGGACACTCATATGTTATGATGTATGACACTTCATGTACCATGGCAACCAAACCCTCTACCAAGAGCCTGCAAATATAAAAAAGTTCAAAGGTAATTGAAGGAGGCAGCTCAGTGTAGCATGAAATACACTGAACCAAGAAACTAAGCCCTGGCTTTTCATCCTGGACCTGCTGCTGACCAGCTGTGTGACCTTGAATGAATCACCACCGTCCACATCACCACTAATGCTTACAGAGTGTTTTACCGTGTGCCAAGCTCTGTTCTAAGTGCTTTACAAACACCAACTCACCACTGAGCCAGTGAGGAGGTCCCTTGATACTGCCATTTTTCAGATGGGGCAGCGGGGGTGCTTAGCCACACCCTGTACTGCCTCCAGTAGAGCCCCCTCCCATCGTCCTTGTTTCCCCTATCTCCCTCACCCCGCTTCCCACTCACCAGCAGACCCTGGTGACTTTCTTAAAACATATACCCTAAAGCCACCCTCTCCTCTCTGTCCTGGGTACCACCACTTCAGTCCCCTTCACCATCCAAGGACAGTGGGAAACTGTCCGTTTTCTGGAAGACACGAGTACTGGGAACAAAACTCAAACCCTTCCTTCCACCTTGTCTGTGAAGCTCTCCGGGATGTGGCCCCGGCCCTCCCTCCCGCCACGCCCCCTCTCCCCTTGGTCACTCGCCCTGCTCCAGCCACACTGGTCCGACTTTAACTCCGCCAACACTCCACATGAGGTCCGGCCCGAAATGTTATTCCTCTAATAGTTGCCATGGCACACTACACATTACCTCCTCAGAAAAACCTTCCCCAGCAGCTCCACTCCTATTTTTCTGCCCTTAGTTTGTTTGCTCCGTAGGATTATATATCACTTGCTAAGAGAGAGAAAGAGAGGAGGGAGGGACACCGGGTGTGTGAGTGTGTATACCACACTAGAGCCCTTTCCCAAAGGCAGGGTTAGCGAGGGACCAGGAACCCGTATTTCCCGGGTTATAACCCGTATAAAGCTGCCCAGGTGATCCTGTTAACTAATCAGGTTTGAGAACCACTAGATTAGATAATTCTAAGACATCAAGCCAATCGTTACCAATTACTGGAATTTTAATTGCTATGTGTTATTACATCTTTTTTCTCCTACGAGTGGCTGAGGAGTGGCCCAGAAGCTAGAAATGCAGGTCTTTGCAACAGATAGCAACCTGTGGGGTGATGGGCTCAATGTTCCCAGAGGCTCAGATAACCTGATTTGTAACACAAAAGAATGTGGCGGCCACCACACCTGTGCCAGTCCTCCCGCCTGCCTGCGGGCGAGGTGGCCTCAGAGAGAGGGAATGGCCAAGTGCACGCTTGTCTGCTTTACTCAGTTTCCCCCAGTCTCGTTCTTGTCCTCCTTGCTGTACACTAGGGAAATGGAGGAAATGTACGAGGTTTTACGGTTATTTTTTGAACAGACTTGTCCAGGGCATATCAGTTGTGAAAAAGTACAAGAAAAACAAACTTGAGTCGTCTAGATGAAAGTTATGTGTGCATCTTGATTTCATCAGAATACTAGGGTGTGGTACTAGGTAATGAGAATCCTGACTTCCTTATTTTCTGCTGCTATGAAACTGACATAAGCTTTGGCTAGATAGGCAAGGAGTGGCTTAAACCAATAAAAAATAAAATACCACATGGCCAGCTGTATATTTATGCACTCAGTGGAAGCAAATGTACAGGGGCAATAGATATAATCTCCAGGGTATTATTTACTAATCCATTCAACAAATACACAGTTAATACTTACTAGGGGCCGTTCAAAGCACTGGGTCTGCAGTGGTGGACACTGCATTCATGGAGCAGACAATGTCATAATGAGCCAATCAAAATGAACATCATACAGTGAGGAGGGTTATAAAGAAAAATGAAGGGGATGGAGATCAATTGGTGGGGGGGTTTTCTTTTAGATGGGGTGGGTCAGGAAAGTCTTGGAGAAGAGGAGACGTTTGCGCAGAGATGAGGGGGGGAGCAAACCACGTAAGTGAGGTGGGAAGAGTGTTAACAGCAGAGGGCAGAGCAGGTGGAAGCCCGCTGCGGGCAGGAACGCCCTGGCAGGCTGGGAGGACTGTGAGCCACCTCCTCCACTCTGACTGAAGCAGGGCAGGTGGTGGGGAGGGGGGGGAGGGGAGGGAGGGAAATGAGGAGGAGGAGGAGGCAAGCAAGGCCAGGACAAGTAAGATCTTGAGGGTTGTTATGTAAATTAGATTTTGGCTTTTGTTCTAAATGTGAGAGAAAGCCATTGGAGGGTTTTGAGCAGAGAAATGACATATTCTGACTTACTTTTTAACAGAACTGTCTAGCGGCCGGGTGGGTGAAGAATAGTAGAGAGGCAAGAACTCAGCAGGGAGGCCAGGTAGGGTGAGTGGTTTCTGCAAAGACAGGCCGGAAGAAGAAGGACCTGGGCCGGGGTGGTAGCTGGGGTGGTGAGAGGCGCCTGGATTCTGGGTGTACTCTGAAGCTCGGGGTTTGAACACGGGGCCTCGGAGAAAGAGGAGTTGGGTACAACAGCAGGGGGTTGGGCCTGAGCCACCGGGTGAGTGGTGACACCGTTTACTACAGTGGGGAGGACACAAGAGGGGCGGGATATCTCAGGTTAGAACCAAGGGTTTGGTTTGGATTGGTTAAGTTTGGGACACCTTTCCGAAAACTGGATGGAGACAGAGAGTGAGCAGAACATTACGTAAGCCCAGAGTGGAGGCACGAGGCTGAGGGTAGAGCTGGAAATGTGGCAGCGGCGGCGGCACTTCCATGCAGAGAGAGCGGGACTACTGTGTGTGGAGACGGAAGACCTCTGGGCCTGAGCCCCAGGGACCTCCAACACTCCAGGCTGGGCAGGAGGGGGGCCTGGCCATGATCGTAGGAAGCACAGCTGGGGAGGTAAGAGAGAAGGGGAGAGCGAGCAAGTGGGTCTTGAAAGTCAAGGGGGAAGGCGTTCTGAAAAGGAAGGAATACTAAACTGTGAACACTGAGGAACTTCTACTCCCTCCCTGTCTTCTCTGGCTAGATCCCAATGACTTCACAGAACTCGTCCCTGTTCCACCTCACCTGTCCACCAAAGAACTCCAGATCTTTTGTTCTGGGGATTGAATGAAAACAGTTCAATAGAAGCCTGGCAGAAACTTAGTAATACAGCAGAAAATTTCCCTGGTAAAAACTTCCAAGGCTGGCATCAAAACACTCAGAAGATTAATTTCTACCTTTCCAAGTTGGAGATTCTTCTTTTCCCCCATTGCCAAAATCTTCCAAAATATGGCAGATGGCATTTATTTGCAAAACTGGGGATGCTAACTTTATGAACATTCTGAGGTAAGCAGAACCACAGCGGGGGACACAAATCCTCCGTTGAGAGTCGTAGCCAGTGGTTTTGTGCAGGCTGTTTTCCAATCGCCCTGCTACCGTGTGAGGGCCTCTGTGCCCCTGGTAGTGAGATCTCAGAGCAAAGACGCAGTTTGGGCAAAAGCCCAAACTCCTTCACGGCTAATAAAAACTAGCTGGAGTTTCCTTTTTGTTTTTTTTTTATCATAAAACTATTATTGTTTATTCTGCTTGGGATTTAGAAGGGCTGAGTATAAAGAAAAGACCAATTGACTAACGGCATTTATATATCCTAAACTTTAATATCTATACTTCAAATCCCATAGGATCTCACATACATGCTATATGTAAAATTATTAGAAGATTTCAATTAATTTATAGGTACAGCATGCAGAAGACCTA